ACTTGAGTACCGAGGGCTTGGTTTTCAGACTGAGTTCTGCTTTAGTCACAATCTACCGACTGATCAACGTCAGTTAAACTTTCGAATAAAATCCAGACTGCTATGATGACTTGAAAATATTTTTAGATTTTTTGTCCTTATCATCAAGCACGACTTGATGTTTCACATAAATTTTTCATGCAATGACTCCAATTTTAATTAGAGATAAATTTGAAGCCTAATATTTAACAAATTAAAGTATCCTAAAGTAAGAATATGTATCTCTTTAAATTGCACAAAGCTGAATACCGTATACCGTTGATTTCAGACAGGTGAACACATTGATGATCTCTGTAACACAGTTGCAAGAACAGACCCGGTTCCATCGATCAATATCGTTGACTGCTTTGCAAAACTTAATGGTCAAAATTGTTTCTGGACGACTTTTGATCGTTCGGACCGAAATGGCATTTGAATATTTTGCAAATATTACATTGCTTGTACGAAAGAGGTACCGACACTGGAAAGGCCTTTGGCAACGAACAAGCTGTTGTTCTGCTCAGTTAAATGGTACAAGAAGTATATCAGTATGTTGCAGGTGCTTCTGGCATTTTTGAAATGATATTATCGTAAAGTTCTATTAAGTGTATTTTGTTTCATTGTTGGTTTTCTTTGGAACAGCAAAATCTGGGCTTCTTCAGATCTTGGCCCTTTCAGTCGTGTCAGGCTCAATAGCCTTCTGCACTGGTCGAAATGCAAATGACAAATTTTATAACATTTAATCCAATAATTATCTATTATTGAGCATCGCGCTGAATACTACACCTCCGAAATGTTGAAACTACTACATATTACCCCATCACAATTTCAGTGATGTTCAGAAGGCCTTTTGCAGTAGATGCTGAAAGGCGATTGGCGACAGTGAAATCACTATTTCATTCAAATAGCAAGCATGATCGCTTTAAGAAGGTTCAGAAATGGCAGATAAAATATCGTCGATTTCCAACAGGGCTGCTACTGTCATCATACTGTTCAATGGCTTCACAAAGGAGATTTTGGAGAATGCCCTAAAAGGGCATACAGGATCATTGTCAGTGGTGATATATGAATAAACTGTCCACAACTTACAGATCATATCTGTCTACAGGGACTGAGGAGGAACTTTTAGCCCTAACGGGTCACCCGAATACCTGAGCGACATTCAATTACACAAAAAGGCCATCACTGCGGCAGATCTGATTCTTAATGTTGACTATAAACTTCCATGCATGCTTTCATTTGGTAATCCTAGGCTTTTTCTCACAAGATGATTGATTGAATATCCTCTTGCGATGACGAACGTCTACTTAGAGGCCACGGATCTGCGGGAAAATGCATGAGAGTACATGAAGCCCCTATTTGAAGCCATGCATATACATCATGTCAAGCGAGCAGCCGTTGATCAGAAAATATAAACGGCCATTAATAGTAAACACCATGTCTTATATTAAAACGTTTCAATGACCTCTAGGCCTGGAACTAAATTATAATTTAAAATAAAATGTGCAATTTGTTAATTCACATCAGAAATTTCTAGCCATGCAAGGCACAAACAAGCGATTAAGAACGAAAGCTATTATTTTGCAGCGAAGGAAACCACAACTCAACCAATGTGTCAGCTGAAAAATTCAAGCTCATGATAAACTCATTCAGCCAGTAAAGTAAATGACATTGTCGATTGCCTGCAAATCGTTCAATCTATGCACGGAGACACGACAGCATGACAGAAATTCTTTCATCTTTTATCTGTTCTTCAGTGCGTTTGCTGAAAGCTGAGTTTTTTGTCCATTTCAGCAAAAAACTCTCTTTCACTCCTTCGCATATTACTTCGCCGATGGCAACGACAAGTCAGTTACCCGTGCTGATGGATGCCTACGTTCAAAAAATACCCTAGTATGTAGGGTTAATTGGAGCCATATCCCGCTTAAATAACCTTCCTAGGCAATTATGGTTAAGAAGACAGTGCAGTATGTTGCAAATTTTTTTGGAG